ACCCTGAGCCTTCCAGTGTTTTTCATCTCCAAACAGCAGCCCACGAGAGTAGCTGGGCGATGCCAGTGTTTTTCCCGACAGAAGCTCCAGCAGCAGCTGTCACCAAGGTCACTGTTCTCCTCTCTGAAATGCTGCAGGATAGCTACATGCAGGGGGGAGGGCCACTGGGTCACTGCTCTGCCCTCAGTCCCTAAACTTCGAAACGGACCCCAAGACAGCCGGGAGGTCACTCAGGACAGTAGCAGGTGGAGCCGCCTGTGACTCACTCTGGGTTCTCAGGCTGGAACTCTCAGGGGCTCTGGGTCCAAGAGGGGGTTTGGGGGGTGGGGCACACCCAGGGGGCTTGTCAGGAGAGGCGCCCCTGCTGGAGTGGGTGGTGCCTCAGTCCCGGAATGGAATTGGCACAGTCAGGCTGGTCCCTAACCTTGGAGACACCGGTACTGGGGAGGAGAATTACAGCCTGGGATGGCTGGATGGCAGGGAATTCAGGGGTGGAGGCCTTGATGGGAGGGCTCTCCCCCCTCTCATGCAATAAAACCAAGAATGCCCCCCTCACCCCACTCCAGAGTTGATTTCATGGTTTGGTTGGGTAGGAGAGTGAACAGTGACAGCAGCTGTCGGTATCAGAGCTCTGACCTCTGTGAACCTCTGCTGAGACGTGGGGGTCATCAGAGAGTAGGTCAGGGGTCATCATCACCTTCTTTGGGAAAAATAGATTAAGGACTGGACAGACTTGTCCTGCAAGGGCCAGATAGTAGATGGTTTAGACTTTGCAGGCCACAGTTTTTCTGTGGCAAAGTCTTAGTTTTTTATTGTCTTTTGTTTGTCTTGTTTTAGAAAATCTTTTAAAACTGTAAAAACCGTGCTTAGCAGGGGAGTTGTACAAAAGCAGAGCCCGGCAGCCCTTGGAAGGTGGCCAACCCCAGGGGCCCTTTGAAGGCAGGCCAGTAGGCTGCTCAGGGCCGCCCGTCCTCTGGCCCGCGCCCAGCCCCGCATCCTGGCCCGCACCCCACCTAGCCCTGCGCCCCTGGCCTGTGCCCAATCCCACGCCCTGGCCCCTGCAGGCCTGGCCCATACCCAGCCCAGACCCCTGACCCGCCCTCCACCTCGGGAGCCTGAGCATGAGGGCTGGATCGGGTTTTGTTTCTCTTCTGATGCTTCTTGAGGTGGCTGAGTGAGTTATTTAGGCTACAAATGAGGCAGCTTTAGCAGAGTCAGACAATACCAGCCTGCTCTGCTGGACTCCAGGATGTGGGTTTGGGGCATGAGGCAGGGCCTCCGGACCCTGTCCGTCTGCGGGCGCCCCCTGCCCTGGGCTCTGGGCTGGGGGTGAGCCTGAGAGTGGGACATGAGGCCTCCCTCTACCTGATCCTCCCCTCTGGGCTCCAACTCCCGTCAGCCTCTGTCTCAGCCAAAGCCCATGTTTCCTGAGCCACCACCAAACCTCCCTCATCCTGCTTACATGAAGACCTCTTGCCTTTGGGGCATGCTGAGATTGTTAACCCCTTAAAGACTCCACTTCCTCTTGACTTATTCATGTATATGTATTTGGTGGCTTTGATGGGGTGTCCTTTGTATGGCTGGGGGAGCCCCACACAGCAAGGTCTAGTGGAGAAGGTGAGCACCCTGCCTGGCCACAGTAGTTCCCCCGGATCCAACAGATGCCATGTTTATGTGCATTTTCTAGCTACTTCAGTGGTGGCTTGGGAATGCAAATAAATTTACCTGGAGGGTGCTGGGGTTATTCTCCCCTGAGTGGAATGGGACTCAGATTTCCTGACATGAGCTGGTATTCCTCAGCTGTGATGGCCTTGGGCAGTGCAAACTGCAGGGGTCATGGCTGTATCACTAAGTCAGTGAGTGACATCCTAATTAATTACCCCAGACATCTGGCTAGAGTTGAGGTTGGCGTTCCTTAAAATCACAAGCTTAGAGCTAGAAGGGAGTACAGAGATCAGCTAGCCCACTCCCTCCTTTGACAGATAGCAAAAGGGAGACTCAGAAGTGTTGGGT